GGAAAATAAAATAATAAAGGGCAAATCCGTCATTTTAAAAAAGTTCATAGGAAATTGGACCAAACTCGCAACAAAACGGAACTATTGGACCATCCTTGTGAGCCAAACCCATTTTGGACCAAAGTTGCTAGTTTTGACATACCACAGGGACCATTCTTGCAATTTTGTCTATTGCTTATAGCCTATTTCTAGTCATTTAACTCATATAAGTTGTTTTGTTTGCCAAACACAGTTTTCCATCTACAATGTAACCCTGCATCATTGAGTGAGAATTCTGCAGTTCCCAAGGTAAATCTGTATCGAAGCGGAGATCTTATTCATACTTAACTGAAGTTTCTGCAATGAAGTCAGGTTCCCAAATGTCACCGAAATTACTACGGTCAACAAATTCATAAAAATGTCAAAAAAAAAAAAGTTGCGGACAATTTCCAAGCTCTGGTGGAATAATTCTAACCAAATTGTTCTGCAACAACAACAAATTCTTAAGATTTTATAAATTGTCCGACTTCTCGAGATTAAGATAGTGTAAATGGCACCACTCAGCCCCTGTGGCAATGGAGTTTCGTCTGTAGTGACTTCAGGGCATGAGGCATAGCCTCATGTTCACAGCGGGGGATTAGTCGGTGCGCGAAAGCTGACCCGGAAACCCTCGTTAGGGAAGTTCCCTTTCCAAAAAAAAAGTAGTGTAAATGGCAAGGGTCTAGAGCTTCTTGAATCCTGAGATTACCAATGGTCGGTGGTAGAAAATTTTATAAGCGTGTTTTTGCAATACCCAACATCATCAAACCAATACAATTCCCTATTTCTTCTAGCAAAGGCCTTTCAATGTTTTTTTTCCACCATCCTCTTATCACCCGATGAAACTCGAAATGCTTCCACCTAGTTGATTGTCATATCAAGTCAACACAACCGGTCTCTTAAGGTTTCCAATTTCAACAAAGACCAGAGATCGGTGTTGGTAATGATAGGGTGAGGTCCATATTAAAATATTAAGTATCAAAAACATAATAAAAAGAAAAAGAAAAAGCAAAGGTAACATGGTTATTTAGAAGTATTTAACAAATGAGAGTGAACGGTAACAACCAAATGGACCATAAGTGCAATTTTTAGAAACTATGGAAACGAGTCATGTTAAAAATTGAAAAATTAGTCTAGAACCATGGATGCATGTAAACCACAGTGACCAAAACTGTAATTTACTCTTAATTGAAAAGTCAAACTGGTCAGGAACGGTGGATTTGTGTTAGGGTGTACGAAAGATCGTTAAAAGGCAAGGGCAACCTTGCTGACTTGCAATTGTTTATCTGCCAACTCCCATTTAACGCCCTTTTATCATTAACAACTTACCATTTTGTTTGTGATTTAGTCAGTGTTACTGCATTCCCATCTCGCCCTGCAAATAAGAAACCCAACTGCAATCGCTATTTATCTTCCCGCCTTTCATCTCTCTCTCTCTCTCTCTCTCTCTCTCTCTCTCTCTCTCTCTCTCTCTCTCTCACACACACACACACATACACACACACACACACACAAGCTGAGGAAGACGGCGAACTGTAATCGGTGGAGGCATTATAATGATAAAAGGAAGTCACATTATAGAGTCGTCTCTGTGGACGATGTCGGGGTTATTCAACTTCTTCATCCTTCTATTCTTCTTATCGACGAGTCTTCGTGATATCAGATCCGCCGCTCAACTTTTGCCTAACGAAGAAGGTACAGTGTTCCTTAATATTTAAATATTGCTCTCCGTTCATCACATTTCTGTTGTTATTTTTGTGTTTGTTTTAGTCACTACTCACTAGATCATTGTTCTGAATGTTTGAACGAACTGATGCTTCTGTTGATTTTGACTTTGGAATTTGCGTTTCGAGAAAATTGATTTCGGTTTAAAGCTTTATTTGGATAGTCG